CTCCTCATAGAGGCCAGCCTCCCGGATAATCTGTTCTGCATATAGGTTGAAAAGGTATGGAGATAGGATGCATCCCTGGCATACGCCCTTCCCAGTTTTGAACCATGCAGTGTTCCCTTGCTCTGTTCTGACGACTGCCTCCTGGTCCAAATATAGGTTTCACATTAGCATGATCAAGTGTTCTGGGATTCCCTTTCTTCTCAGAGTCAGCCAAAGTTTGTTATGATCCACACAGTCAAATGCCTTCGCATAGTCAATGAAACACAGATAGACATTCCTCTGGTATTCTCTGCTTTCAACTAGGATCCATCTAACTTATTTCCTACCAGTTATTATATATAGTATCATAAAAAGCAGGACTTTCGAAGCACGACCAAGGGAGGAATGGTGGCATTGTAGAGCAAGGATTCAAAGACTTGTTGGGTGGGATGGGGGCCTCTTTAGGCATGGAAGGGTTAATACGGCTGCAGGAACATTACAGTGGCTCCTCCATGAGGAAAGACATCTTTGGCCCATCAGTTTGTGGAGGGCAAGTTCTTGGAAGGCTATGATCCTACAGTGGAGAATATTTATAGCAAGATAGTGACTTTAGGCAAAGATGACTTTCACCTACACCTGATGGACACAGCAGGGCAGGATGAGTGCAGTTTTCTATTCTATTCATTCATCATTGGGGTTCATGGTAATATATTTGTATATTCTGTCACTCCTCAGCATAGCTTCCAAGTCACTGAGAGTCTGTACCAAAAGCTACATGAAAGCCATGGGAAAATTCGGCTGCAAGGCTGATTTCTCTCCTGCCAGGGAAGTCCAAACAGTTGAAGGGAAGATGCTGGCAGGGTCCTGGGGTGCAACATTTATGGAGTCACTGGCTCGAGAAATTTAGCTGGCTCAAGATATCTTCACCAATATCATCCAGGAGATTGCCTACGGGCAAGAGCGTCACTGTCACCTCATGTGAGCCTTTGGGCAAGAGTAACTGCCATATTTTTGCCCCTGGTATTTGCCAGGCTTCAGCTGAGTAAACTGCAGGACTTCACAGGTCTGATTGTCAGCTGTGTCTCTAGCCCTTTGAGCACAGTCTTGGCACCTCACGTTTGCACACTTTTCCTTGACCTCCAGTGGCCTGGGTGTCAATGTTTACAAAGAGGCAAAGATGTCTGATCGGCACTGGCCTCTAGATTTTTATTTTTGTCAGTGATTTATTTTTTGACCTTCAGTGTTGGATATAGGACCTGGAAAATGTTTATCCAGGACCTAGCTTCCTCCTGTGTAGGTTTGGGTGTTATCTAGGTAAGAGGAGATGGGATCTCCTGTAGTGGACTTGGTTCCCCGGGCTGACAGTGATAAATATAAATATAAATAAACTGAAAAATCAATTGTTTTTTTAACCAAAAAAAGGGCAGGACTTTCTATAGTTACAACAAGATTAAAATTAATTGAAACTTAAGAGACTTACCTTATTAACTTCTACTGTGACTATTCGATTAAGAAATTTCATCAAAATTGTTGGTGCAACAGGATTGAAACTGCCAAAGTTATGCAAAGAAAAATGGTATTTTAGATAATTTAAAAACATAGCCTGTATGTGAACATTAGGAAACAGACAGTGCTTTCTTACCTGATATTTGCTATAGAACATTCATCTTGAATTTCTTTGGGAAACAGAAGTCTTTGATTATTATCTCCGCTCACACTGTCAGAGATTATAAATATAAGAGGACATCGGCCAATCTGGATATATTTCCTTAAATAATAAAATATAACAATATTGTAATTGAAGCCATATTAGATTTTGGAGTATTAGAAAATATCTCTATGCACACCTATGCTTATTGTGGCTTTGTTCACAATAGCTAGGAGTTGGAAACAAACTATGTGCCCATCAACAAACGAATGGATAGAGAAGCTGTGGTATATTCACACAATGGAATACTATGCTGCATTGAAAAACAAGGAACTCATGCAGTATTATTCAAAATGGGTGACTCTGGAGGACATTACGCTGAGTGAAATATCTCAGTCACAAAAGGACAAATACTGCCTGGTGCCACTGTTGTAGAATGGGACTAACATCAGGGTTGGGGTAAGACTGAGAAAAACTGAATAAATTACATGTACTGCATTGAAACAGATGAGGGAGAGAACAGTTGAAAAGCGCTTTATGATAGGATATTATGGTTATCACAAGAGTCCAAAATTAAGGTTGCATGGTGGAGTGTACTCAGTGGGGGGTGGTGTGTGTGTGGGGGGTGTGCACATGCGCGCAGGGCGATTGTATACCAATGAAATAATTTTTCTTTTACTTTTTAAAGAGAGGAGCAAACTGGGGGGCGGGATGGGTCGGCAGGGAGAAAAGTGCAACAATGAATGAATGGAAATCCAAAATCTCTGTAAATGTTCATTAAAATTAATAAAATTTAAAAAAAAAAAAAGACAACGTCTCTGAAACTCACCTTAAAATTTCATGTAAAATCTGAGAATCTCGATAAAACTGATTAGGTAGATCCTATCAAAAACACAGGATAAGTATTCAGTTTTTTTCCATGTAAATTTATATCCAGATTGACATTTACGAAGAAAGGACAATGCTGTTACCTATCTAAATTATCTTCAGATAGAATTTCAAGGTAATTAAGGGAAACCTGAAATAACTGATATCCTATCTAATTAAGGATAATACATGTACGAGAACCCCAACTTTCCTTAGATACACCTTATCAACTTTATTATCACTGAGACATTATTTTCTAAATATTTATTTTGCCTTTCTAAACTTAAGTCTGTTTCTTCTCATTTTGAGGTGTTAAATGAGCAAATGAAAGTCCGCAAAACTTAATACTCCATCCATGACATAAAAGTCAACCGTGTTGAGGAAGCAGCTTTTTACTATTCATATCTTACGTGCCTTGTGACCTAAATGAGTCATCTTCCAGCACTATACTAAGACAATGCTCACTTGTAATTCTTAAAGTTTTCACATAGCAATTTTTCAGAATTAGAGCTCCAAGTCCTTTTCCCAAGTTGTCTTAGTCTGGAAGCACCATTGAAACCTGTCCACGATGGGTGATCTTTTTGTTATCTGAATACCATTGGCATGAGTTCCAGCAACACACACATCAGCTCAAACTGACATATAAGTACTATACATAGACTAAGAAGCAGTTGTTCAGGGGAGCACGGATGGACACAATTTATAGCCTCACAATGCCAATAGAAGGGACCTACTTGAAGGCAGTCAGTTTTTTAAAAACAAGTTAAGTTTTTTAAAGTTTTATTTGCTCAGTTATTATCAATTATTTACTCAACAGCTCTGGGCTTACTTCAACAAGAATTATCTTCTTGTCCGTTCTCATATCATCTCCAAGCATTTGTAGCTTATTATACTTAGTTGCTCTTAACACAAATTCTTTAAAAGTTGACATCTGAGACTCATAGGGAAATAGACGGAGGCTTGATTCTACAAAGAAACACATTTAATACCAATTGTTTTAATTCCAACAAATTATATATACAACAATATTATACACTCAAGGAGCTCTGGTAGCTTGGCGCATTCCATGCTGCCTTGCTGCCTGAAAGGATCAGTGGTTCAAATCCACTAGTAGCATCATAAAAGAAGTGAGTCTGTAAAGAATTACTGCCTTGCAAAACCAATGGAGGATCCCTATGAATAGGAATTGACTTGATGACAGTAGTTTCAGGCATTACACATACATATGTACATATACACACATATGTTGTTTTTTAAGGCTATCGAGTAGATTTTCAAACATAGCTGATCTCATGTGACCAAAGTAGAACTGCCTTATTGGTTGGTTTGGGGTTTGTTTGTTTTTTAACATTTTATGGTGATTTGGTATACAGGGCAAATTTGTTTTCCATTCAACAATACATATACATTTTGTTTTTTCAGACTGATTACTCCTGGTGGCCTAGTGGTAAGAAACTGCACTGTAGTCCCAAAGGCATGTGGTTCAAATTCACCAGTTCAAATTCTGCTCTGCAGAAGAAGGATGGACAATCTCCTCCTGTACGATTTATTGTCTCTGAAAAGCCAGTGGATGGTCAGCTATAGGTGGGTACCAACTTGATGGTACACAACAACAACTAGGATTTTCTAGGCTAATCTTTATGTGGGTAGGTAACCAGGTCTTTCTGTATATAAGTTACGTGGACTGGATCCAGCAAACAATAGTGCCTTAACAAAGAGTTAACTATTGTGCCAGAGTTCCTTTTTTATATAGATCTATGTATAAACACTCACATATCATATGCAAAATGAAGTTCATAATATTGTATTTCATAACTATGAAAAACTACTAAAATTTAAAATAACACAGTTATATCAAACAATAAGTGATACTATAGAAAATTGCAATTTCCTACACCAAAGAATTCATTTACTTCAGAATAGAGCTGTCAGCATGATACTAAAAAATATTCACAAATTAGGAAACCAAGGAATGCTGGGCGAGGAATCTAAACAAGGATCTCTCTAATCAAAAAGTCTTCAGAAAAGTCACTTCTCTGAAGCTAACTTCCTATCCTCTTTAATGGTTCCTTTCCCCCCAGTGCCTACATGAAAAAAGCACATCTAGCCCACACTCATCAGGCTCCTGGGGAATGGAATCAAGTGTCACACATTCAAATATGTGGAAGAAAATCTTAGAGCCAGCCACTTATCAGAAACCTGTGGACTCAGCAGTAATTAAACTTGGCTTATTTTTTTTTTGGGGGGGGGAATTACAAACTTAAAATCTACAATTTATTGAGCTCTCTTTATTGAATATAATTTTCAAGGGGATATATTTTTGTTTAAGACCAACTGTTTATCTTTTCTCTGCCTACCTCTCATAATACTTGGTTCAATGAAGTCTAAAGAAAAAATAATCCAAGTTAAAAAGAGAAATATCATGTGTCCTATAAAGTCTTTTTTTATTATTGTTTCACTGTAAGATCAAATTCATCTAGTGGTAACAAATGTGCTATTTTATATACTTTAATTTTTCATACCTAGTTGGAGTCCCATTTCACATTTATCTTTTATTATTCACTAAGCTTTCTTAATATTGAAACAATATGGTTGTAAAATCAATATAAACACACATACACACATACACACACACACACACCCAGTCCAAAGCAGGAAAATAGAACATAGTTGTATTTAAAGGATCAAAAATTTTGCAAAATTATTTTTTAGTTAAAATGAGAAAAGTGATTAAAAAAAAAGAGTTGATGCTGGTGTAAAAGGGAAGATGACAGCTAAATTATCTTCCAAAACAAAGAATAATAAAAACTACTTAGTGGTTTTATCAAGAAAGCTTTGGGAAAACATGCTTTATATGGAAGGCTACTTAATTCGAGTGTTCACTGTAATCCCAGAGGTATGCGGTTCAAATTCACCAGATGCTCTGCTGGAGAAGGAGGGGGCAATATCTTCCTGTACCAGTCAGATCTGATTTGACGGTACATGTAAAAATAATAAAAATTTAAAAAAAAAGTTATTAGACTGTCAAAAGCAGCACAGCTATTGAAACCCAATGTCACTGTGTTGGTTCTGACTCACAGCCGCCACTGGGTTTCCCAGGCTGTGAATCTTAAGGGAGACTGCCCATCTTGCTACCAAAGAGGGAGGTAGATTTGAACTGCCAACTCTCCCAGTTAGCAGTGTATATTATACACTATGCCACTATAGCTCTCTGATGTGGTTATTTATGAATTGATTCACCTGAAATTGGACACTCTGAAAAGAATCTGCTGAAAACAGCAAGGGGTCAAACCTGAAACAGTTTCAAACCTGAAGCCCTGGTCACAAGGTCCTTGCTTGCAAATTCTAAGGCAGTCTACTTTGTAGTATGTGCTGTTGTCAGAACCATTTCATAGGAGACATTCTATTGGAGTTTCAAAGACTGTAAATCACACAAAAGGAGTCTTTCTCCCCTGGATCAATCTCTGGTCACAAGGTCCTTCCTTGTAAATTCTCAGGCAGTCAACTTTGTAGTATGTGATGTTGTCAGAACCATTTCATAGCAGACATTCTATCGGAGTTTCAAAGACTGTAAATCACATGAAAGGAGTCTTTTCCTCTGGATCAATTGGTGGATTCAAAGAGCTTGCCTTTAGACTGACTGCACAACTTCTTACCACTAGGCCACTAGGGCTCCATCTTCATAGTATGTTGTTTTCAGGTATGGCATATATACCTTCCTATAAACAACATACATGATTTATGAACTTAGCAATCTTACATAGATGGGTAGTTTATTTCAAAGTTCCATTACATGCAAGTTTTCTCTACTATATCTACTACCATAATAGCAAACCTTACCAGAATGAAGCACCTCCTTAAAATCATCTTTTTGAAAGTCTGGTAAAACCGGATTAACCCACTCTTGTACTTGAATGCCAAGTTCCTTTGATAGTATTCTTAGCGTAGTTGTCTTTCCACAGCCAGGAGGACCTGTTATTAATAAAATAGATCCAGCTCCACCCTAGAACCAAATACAAACATTAAGTAAAAATTAAGATCACTGGAATGATGGAATATTTCATAATTTTCATTCTAAATTCAAGCTTAACACAAACCAGATTTTAAATTAAATCTCAATGTGGCTTATTAGATACTTTAAGAAGCATATATTGTAACATATTTACCAGAGACTAGAGATACACTAGCTGCTAAGGGTCCTAGGAACTTTACCTCATTTATTGGATAGGATGAAGCTAACAAAAATATATGGTAGAATTTCCCTATATCCAATGGTGGGCATTAAGTTTATCCTATGTGTTTACCTTTATTTACTACTGTGCACAAGGGCCTGTGTACATATACCCAGAAGACAGCTCCTTTTTTTAAAAATTACAATACTCCCAAATGAAAGATCTACATATAAACTTATCAAAAATAGTACTTAAAAATACATTTTCTAGACAACAAAGAAGTTTTCAAATTGATTGGGATGACGGACAAACTCCAAATGCAAGAAAATCCACTGGATTATATCCATTTCAAGTGGGTGAACTAAATGGCATGTCAATAGTGTGTATGTGTATATATATTCATGCCAATAATACATATTAGCTAAAACATGGTGGAACTGGAACCCTCATATACTGCTAGTGTTGTTAGGTGCTCTTAAGACAGAAATGACTTACACTGACCCTAAGTATAAGAGAACAGAGCTCTGCCCAAACCTGTGTCCTCCTCGCAATCTTTGTGTCTATCCATCTCCTTGGGTGCCATCCTCTCTTTTGCTGACCCTTTACTTTTCCAAACACTGGCCTCTCCTGATAACATACCTGAAGTACGTCAGATGAAATCTCACCATCCTTACCTATAACAACAACCCTGGCTGCACTTCTTTAAAGACAGATTCTTATTCTTTTAGTAGTCTACATGGTACTCAATACTCTGCCAACACCACAATTTAAAGGCATTAACTCGTCTCTTCCTTATTAATTTTCAAATTTTCACACAAATGTGAAGCAACTAAAAATATCGTGGCTTGGATCAGATGCCCTTCAGTCTTTAAAAGGATATCCTGGGCCCAATAACACTTTAAAGAGGTCCATGACAGAAGATCTGCCTTTTGATTTCTGAACTCCTACTTCCATGGTGGTTCATTGTGAGGTCAGATAGAATGAAACAGTATTATATAAACCCATTTATATGTCATGTGTATGCTGAGCAAATAATTCATGAAAATGAACTCTATGAAGAAGAATGTGGCATCAGCAACCTATGTTGTGTCAATGGCACAAGTTTGCTCGCTCAAAGTGAGGAGGACTTGAAACATTCACTGCAGAAGGTCAAAGACTACAGCCTTCAGTATGGATTACATCTCAACATCAAGACAACAAAAGTTTTCACCACTGGGCCAACAGACATCATCATACACAGAGAAGGATAGAAATTGTTAATGATTTTGTCTTGCTTGGATCAACAGTCAACAAACTTGATACCAGCAGACAGGAGATCAAGAAACATACTGCACTGGGTAAGGACACACAATAATACAGACATTAGAAGAATGAACAAATGTTTTGAGAAGTGTAGTTATAGTCAGAATGCTTCTAAGAAGTGAGAACACAGTGAGATTTCATCTTAGGTACTTTGGTCTGATTTCAGAAGGGATCTGTGCCTGGATGAGGATATTATGATAGAACATTGATGTAAAGAAGGAAGACTCTCATTGAACCACACAGTGGCTGCAACAATGTACTCAAATACTGAAATGACTGTAAGGGTGGTGCAGAACCAGACAATATTTCTTACTGAGTCACAAAGTAGGATTATGAGAATTGACTCAGTGGCCCCTAATAAGAAGTGTTAAAAATTAAAGAAAGAATTAGAACAGTCTAGATTGAGGGGACAAATAGTAAACTAGGAAGTGAAACAAAAAGCAGGAGCCTAAAATGAATTATGATCATTTCTGGTTATCTTTAGTGCAAAGACCAACTTGTAATTTGCCTGCTTGCTTCTGTGAAAAATAATCTGATGTGATACATACATACACAAGTCCTCTATTTAGGGCACAGTGATGGCACAGATCATAGCAAGTTAAGCTGCAGTCTCTTCTCATTGTCAATTTACAACTCTGAAACCTGACATAGGGTGACTACAAGTTGGAACCTAAACTTTACCATGCATTATATTGATGACTGGAACTAAGAGGAATAAGATAGGAAAAAGGCATAGAGAAATAAAGGGGGAAAGTCAAAGTCTCTTACGTTTTTAAGTGAGGCTGGAAGTAGTAAGGTCAGAGAACTTTCTATTGGAGCTGATCTAGACTTATTTAAACCCAGTCAGCCTAAAAGTTTAATTTCTTAAAATTGGCTTTAAGTTAGAGAAACATTAAATATTTAATGACATTAAGTATTTCCCCACATATTTTACCTTTTTAGGTTTTGTTTCTAAGACTTGAGCTCTTAACCAAGTTTCAACTTCTTCAATTTTCTTTTTATGTACAGCAAGTTCATGCTAAGATAAAAATTTTAAGTTTAAAGATAAAATTATTTAGTTAAAAAATATTTGGTATGTCAGTATAGATTACACTATTATTTTAAACCAAAGGGAGAAACTAAGTAACATATTCTCATTTAAAAAAGGTCCTTCTGTTGACTCTTTATTCTGTTATCATCATATGATAAACTTGGACAAGTTTGGAACTTACAAAATATTTCTTTAAAAAAAACCTCCAAAACAAAAAATATATTAAACTTATTTTATAAGTTTGGAACATATAAAAATAATTAAAATTGTCTTAAAGGGAGTTTGGAACAGTTTTCCATTTAATAAAAGTAAATAAATAAACTAATAAACAGAATTTAGGTTGATGTTAAATCTAAGAAAAAAACTAACAGAACTTCCAAATGACTGCTGAGGAAACATAAATATGAGAAAATTCTAGAAATCACTGTTTTAACTAGTATGAAGAATTTTATGAATAGCAACCTAAGAATGTCTTTCTCTTTACCTCTCACCCATCCTAATCAATATAAAAATTAAGTTATACAGACATGTTTGTATGCTAGCTAGTACCTGAGTTTGTGGCTTATATTTATCCACCCAGGATTCATTTTCAGGCAAATATTCTTTTGAATTTTCCAGACTGCTTATTTGTTCTAAGGAGGGCAGCTTTCCTCTTTTAACTGGAAATCTGCTATTTTCTAAAGTGGAAGACACAATTTTTCTTCTAAGACTTGAGTTACTGACACTTAATGATGAGGCAGTAAGAGCAGTAGAGATGTTTGGAGTTCCTGAAAATTCATCAAATGATGGATCTACCCAGTCAGCTACCTGGAAAACAAGAAGTCTTGGGAGTATCATCACATTTCCCTTATCTGTCCCCCATGTAACTGAACTTCAGAAACATATTCATGCTTGCAATTATTTAAAATAAAAATATCACCAATTAAGTCTTAAATTAAAACAGACCCTATAAATTGATAACCTACAGTAAGTACAAATGCCAAAAGTGTAATTCTCAACAACGTCATACAAAGGAGTAAAGAGTATCAATTAATTCTTACTATTAATTATAACCTCTCAGATAATAATGGGCTGATTTAACAAAACAAACAAACAAACCAAAAAACCAACCAAATTAATTTGTAGGACTAGAATATAAATAATAAAATGGCTCATAAAAATTGACGTAAATAAACACTATCTTAACACTGATAAAATTAACACATTTATAGTTTAAAAACATTTCATACCTCTAAACAATTCATCTTTTAAGACTTTGTGAATATAAAAGAACCTACTGAAATGAACAGCATGTTTACAACTTGATTATATTTTTGTTCAGTGCATGAGGCTATTAATATATTTATGAAAATGAGGCAGGCTTTTGAAAATTAACTATAAATAACCCATATATTTAATTCAATAGTTTACAATATGCTGTGACTTATATTATAAAGCTTTTGCAAAATTAAGGTTGTGCTTTTAATGTACAATCATTGCCCAACTTACAAATAGACTTTTCATTGGAGACTATTTTGGGACTGTAACGATTAAGAACATATTTAAAAAATCCTAATTCTTTATGGGCAATTATTATATATTTTTGCTTTACCTTTGATGAAGATAGCCTTGGTCTAACAAAAGTTTTTGACATTATAAACTTTGATAGTTCCCATCCGTAATATATAATCTGCAGTACATGAAAATATAATTCACCTAAGGGTAAGGAAAGAAACAAACTATGAAAAAGTATAAATACAAAATACACTCTAGTAATTAGCATATTCCTTTATCACTGTATTTCCTATTTCATGTCTAGTGAGAGAAAAAGCAAAGGACGAAATAAAAAAATGTCAAATTTTACTTCAATAACTGTAAATGTGTTAATGCATTTATTTTACTACTACCGTTTTTCATACAAGTTAGAAATCATATTCAATACAAAAATCACAATAGACAGGAGAGTCTATTCCTTGAAAAAGGACATTAAATTGGAAAAGTGTGAGTTAATTGAAAGAATGGAAGACCCTCAGGGAAATGAACTGATAGTGTCTATGGCAACGAACTCAAATATATCCAGGACGGTAAGGATGGTGTAGGAGAGGCCAAAGTTCACGTCTATTATTCATAGGTTCCCATGAGTCCTACTCATCTTGACAGCACTTAACAATATTTTCTCATTCAGAATAACCAGATATAATCCATCAACAAGTTAATTCAGATTTATTTACTTTGAAGAATTTTAATCTTTTAACTTTTTTCCCTCCAATAGTTTACCTTAATTGAACAACGTGATTGGTATTATGTTGGAGTCGTTTTGATTTTGGGTTTTGTTATTTTGCATGGCCGAGTATTCGATTTTCAGAATTCTTACTGTCAAGGATAACTAATTAATTCACCAATTTTAAATCTGTCAGAAGAAAAGCTGTTTACAGTCAACAAGCCTATACATCATAAAGTCACACAGTTTGTAGGGCGTTAATTTTCCCCACATCTTAGTAGTCAAAACAAAAATTGTTCGCAATCAGACAAGTTTTGTTTCTGAAGTTTCAAAGAATGGTAGAGGCAGGAGGAAGGGAAGGAAGGATGTAAGTAAATGTCGCTGACAGATTTACTTCAAAGGCACTGACTTGTTACAGTCAGGACTCAAGTCGCTCTTTGAATACAAGGCAATTGTTGCCTTCTAAAAGCATCTAAGTGTCCCGGAGGATGCCAGATTCCTGGTATGTGATGTCAGAAGTGGAAAAGAACTTCAATAACATTCCCAGTAGACCCACCAGCAACCCATACTGCACATGGAATACTAAACATCTGTCCAACACAAGTGTTGCTAATGAGAGATGAGCCAGCATGAACGTGCGTCTGCCGGCTGGATGCCAAGTCTCTGCATCCCCACCTCTTCGATCTCTAGAAGAGATGGGTAGTCAGCGGGAGGGGTTGATAGAAGCCGGGAAGGTGCAGAGGCAGAGACAGCCCAGCGTCTCCAGAATATGTAAAAATACCAGAGCCGCAATCGCGGTGATCTTACTTTGCGGGAGCTGCATCCCCTCGTGGGCAGAGAGGAGCTGAAGAGTAAAAGGTTCTGTCACAGGTGAAAACAGAGCCAGCCGGCTCTAGCAGGGCTCATCGCCGAGCCATTTGGAGATCCCGCCTACCCGGACCTTGTAGTTGAGCCGCGCGTACGCGACGCGAAATAAAGGGCGGGACCCCCACAGGAGGGGGCCTTAGGCGTCTAGGGCACTGCCTGAGTCGAAGTGAGAACTCAAAATGTACTTATGTCACAGATTCCGAGATGGAAGCATGAAATTTAATGTGAGGTAACCCCTGGTCGAAAGTTGGGCGGCAGAGGTAGCTCGGGAGCATGGCGCATGGGCTCGACGACTCCAGGGCTGCTGGCACTTGTCGCAGCCCGCCCCTTCCGGCTGCTTCCGGTGGTGCGTGCGGCGCCAGAGTCGAAGCGCTAGGAGCCATCGCCGTGGGGACCATGTTGCTTCCGAACATCTTGCTCACTGGTCAGGGCGCGCGGCTGTATAGTGCTGAAGGCGGGGGCCGGCAGGGGACCCTGAGAGCTCTGGCCTTGAGCTTCGAAGCGAGGCCTCTCAGTGTTTGTTTCGGGGTTAGCCTAAGGCCGCGAAGCCTGGCAGTTGTCCCTGCCTCGGGATTGGGCCGTGGCGAGCGTTGCGTGCTGGGGAGGGGGCGTGGGGGAGGAAAGCACGCAAAACGCTGTTTTTTGCAGTAACGCGGAAGCTCGGCGAGGTGGAGGAGATGCGGACACACCAAACGTCTCTAACTTGCTAACGACTTAATCTTTTCTCAGTTTGGTTGGTTGGTTTTGTAAAATGGGCTTTTAAGTTTAACTGTCATCTTTAAGTTTTGTCGAGCAAGCGTAAGACGGTGCCTGACGCTTAGATCTGTTAACTCTGATCTCAGGCCTTGCTGTGCTTCCTTTCGTACTTTTCTTTACATCATAAATGCTGCTTCTCAGATTTATTCTTTTTCCGGGTCTGTTGACGTTTTATTATGCTAACGTTGACAGTCTTTATTATTTTTTAAAGGAAATATCTCGGGTGGTTCTCTTGTGAAGATAATACAGAGTTTCAGGGGGGACTGTGGGATTCCTGTGAATTTTGGGAGCCATGTGTAAAGACATTAAAGAGTGTTATTGCCAGTCTTTTAACTCTGAAAGCGTTGACAAAGTTGTGAAGTTGATGGCATCATAGGACATGTATGGGACAGTTTTAATGAGTGCAGGTACTACAATGTATAGAAAACTTTGAACACTCTTTGCTGAAACGGGAGACGATTTTTATAAAATAAGACGTGGTGGCATGGCGCAGATTAATCACTAAATAGATTGTTTAACTGTTCATATTATTAAAGGGAAGATTTTACCACATCTGATTTTAAGTTAAAGTATCTCGTTTCTTTTATTTTATTATTATTATTAAATTTTATTCGTTTTAATGAACATTTACAGAGACTTTGGGTTTTCATTCATTCATTGTTGCACTGAGTATCTCGTTTCTTATATGTTATCAGAAAATTTAAGTGTAAACAAGTTCTTCAGAATAGGATGATGCCCGAGTGAGTTCAGGCATATTTTGGTGAACTTAAACTTGATGCTTTCTTGCACATTCATTGTAATATTTTGCTTTGTCTTCCCGTGCTGCCTTTTGAAATCTTCTATTCAACTCCTTAGCATCTTGAATTCTTCCCTGTGCTTTGGCTTCTCTGCGCTCCAGTGCAATTTCAGAGTCTCTTCTGACATCCATTTTGGTCTTCTCTTCTCTTCCTCTTCTGTCTTTGCAATGACCGTTTGCACTCTTCCTGGATGATACCCTTGATATCCTCCCACAACTCATCTGGCCTTCGCTCATTTCAACACTGGCTTTGCTCAGTGTTCAAAGCCTCAATTCTGTTTCTGAGATGGTTCTGAAATTCAGGTGGGATAGACTCAAAGTCATATTTTGGTTGCCTTGGATTGGATTT